CTTGGTGACCCATTCATTGTTTAATAACATGCTATTTAGCTTCCATGTGTTCAAATGACTTTTTATGATCTTCTTGCAATTGATTTCTAGTTTCATGCCATTGTGATCTGAGAAGATGTTTGATATGATTTCAGTCTTCTTGAACTTGGAGACACTTAGTTTGTGCCTTAACATGTGGTCTGTCTTTGAGAATGTTCCCTGTGCACTTGAGAAGAATGTGAAATCTGTAGTTTTGGGGTGTAATTCTCTGTAGATATTTATTAAATCCATTTGGTCTAGTGCTTCATTTAGAGTGTTTGTTTCCTTGCAAATTTTTTGTCTAGAGGATTTATCCAGTGATGTCACCAGGGTGTTGAAGTCCCATGCTATGATTGCATTGCTATCGATTTCTTCTTTGAAGTCCTCCAGAAAATTTTTAATATATTTTGGTGCCCCTATATTGGGTGCATATATGTATATCAAGGTTATATCTTCCTGTTGGATATATCCTTTCAATATTATGTAGTGGCCCTCTTTGTCTCTAGTAATGGCCTTCATTTTGAAGTTTATTTTATCAGATATGATATTGCTACCCCAGCTTTTTTTTTTTGCTTGGAAAATTTTTTTCCATCCCTTCACTTTCAACACATGTAAGTCTTTTGTTGTCAGGTGGGTCTCTTGTAAACAACATATAGATGAGTCATGCTTTCTTATCCAATCAGCTACTCTGTGTCTTTTTATTGGAGCATTCAATCCATTTACATTTAAGGTGATTAGACATATGTAGTTATTTATTGCCATTTTTGTTTAGTGTGGTTGTATTTTTCTTCCCATTTCTCCTGCTAATTACAGCAGTCCTTTTAACATTTCTTGCAGTGCTGGTTTGGTGCTAATGTATTCCCTTAGATTTTTTTGTCTGGGAAGCTCTTTATTTGACCTTCCAATTTGAATGATAGCCTTGCTGGGTAGAGTAGTCTTGGATTCAGATCCTTGCTTTTCATGACCTTGATTATCTCATGCCATTCCCTTCTGCCTGTAGTGTTTCTGTTGAGAAGTCAGCTGAGAGCCTTATGGGTCTTCCTTTGTAGGTAACCTGTTGCTTCTCTCTTGCTGCCTTTAGGATTCTCTCTTTGTCTTTAATTTTTGGCAGTTTGATTACTATGTGTCTGGGTGTGGGCCTGTTTTGGTCCTTTTTACTCGGGCTCTCTGTGCTTCTTGAAATTGAATGCCTTCTTCATTCATCAAATTAGTGACATTTTCTCTCTCTATTTCTTCAAACACATTCTCTAACCCTTGCTCATTTTCTTCTTCTTTGGGGACTCCAATGATGTGAATATTATTACGTTTCCAGTTGTCCCACAGTTCTCTTAAGCTGTCTTCCTGTTTTTTAATCATTTTTTTTTTCTTTTGGTTTTCTGATTGGTTGATTTTTCTACCCTGGCTTCTAATTCACTGATCCAGTCCTCAGCTTCCTCTAGTCTGCTTTTAGACCTTCCAATGTGTTTTTCATTTCTGATACGTATTTTTAATGTCCAACTGGTTGATTTTCAACATTTTTATGTCTTTGCTCATGGTGCTCATGTTGTTATAAATGCTGTTGAGCTTCCTCAAGATCATGACTCTGAATTCTAGTTCTGTTAACTTGCTTAACTACACCTCATTTATCTCATCTTTCGTAGAGGTCTCTTGTTCTTTCATTTGGCTTTTGTTTCTGTTTTTCACCATTTTGACTATCACAGTGGGCTTTGGAGTCTGCCAAATTTTCCCTATGGGTGTTGGTGTTCTGCTGTTTGTGGCTCCCTCTCCGGGGTTTGGATGTGGCAGGGAGGACCCACTTTAACCACCATTGTCAAATCTTAACTTTCTGTAGCTGTTTTTTTTGCCTGGAGGCTATTAGTAGAGGTCACCTGAAGAAGCTTGGTTTTAGAATTGCCTGAAAAACTCCCTCAGGTGCTCAGTGTAAGAAGATTTCCCACGGGTGGGGCAGATGCTCGTTGTTAATGTGCCTCAATTAGCATTTCCATGGCCTTCAGGTGGGGTGGAATCTCTGAGAGAGGGTCCGCCCCCTCTCCAGGGCCCTGGGAAGGAGTAACATGACCACAGTCCTGCGTGGCTGAACTCAGCAAAAGCTCTGAGCACCCTCCAAATCCCGATTGTCCCCACACAGTTCCAGTCCAGTCTGCCTTCCCTCTGCCAGAGGCCAAGGTGAGTGGCTGCTGCCAGTTTAGCCTCTGTCCAGACTCTGCGTCATGGAGCTGCCTGGGACTTTTAACCCGATGGTTCTGCTCCCAGCTAAGGGCGGCCAAGTCTGTGGCACTAGCCGAGGGCATAGCAGTCAGCAGAGTTCACAGGACTTAGCCATGTTCGCAGCTGCGGCGGCAGCAGCTTCCCGCCGAGTCCCCTGGTCCCAGCCGAGTCTGTGCGGAACCAGCTGAGGGCTTAGCACGCATTTGAGGTGGCAGCAGCTTCCAGTTGAGTCCCCGAATCCCAGCCGAGTTTGCTGGTTCTGACCCAGGCCGCTGCGGACCGTTGGCTCCTGGCCCCCTCTTGTGTCCTTGCAAGCCTATCAGGATTGAATCAGTGTCCCTGGTTATGTGGTCCTCTAGGCTGCCTTTCGGTTGCTCCTTCTTGACAATTTGTCTTTATTTTCGTTGTAAATACAGTTTAGTCTTGGGAGATGGTCTTTGTAGCTCCATTCACTCCCCCGCCATTTTTTCTCTCAAATAATATTTCCATTTACTCATATTTTGAATGAAGAAATCTTGTGCTAATATTCTATATTTATACAAAATCAATTAAATATTTCACCAGGGTTTTAAAAGAGAGGTACAAAAGAGCACTTTCATCTGGAACACCAGACTGGGAAGTCACTAAGGGCAGTTTTGCCAATCTTAACATGGAGGAACACTGTAAAGAGAGAGGGAACTAAAACACTGCACTGTCATTGGACACCAATTCTTTTTGCTTCACATTGGTTGCTAAAGAGATGAGGTAATTAATGTTAACTTTTATAACTTACCTCCTTTATTTTAACATTGTCAATATTTGAATATTAGGAAGAGATTCAACTTGGACATTAACCAGACCCACCTACTTTCTGCAATGTTTGGGTCAGTAATACACATAAACTGAGTTAGTTAGGATGTTTTAAGCTATAATTGAGTTCTATGTTGTTACTGCCATTTACTTCCCATATATACAAATGTAGATACTATAAGGAACAAGGAAATCAGAAGTGAACAAGAATAATAATCATATTGAGTGAACAAGAAAGATAAGCTCAATGTCACATCTCATATAATTTCCCTTATTTAATTTAACTCTTCAGATAATGGCGAAAGGAGAATGAAGCACAGGCACATACTAGGAGTGTATATGTATGGGCAAGGGTGTGGGGTTCAAGCTTTTACTTGAACACAATCCAATGCTGCCTTTTTCTTAACTGTTTGTATTCATGTTTATCCCCAATTATGATTTCCATAATGTTGATCATTTTTAAAGGGCTCTAGTTTATATTTTAGATTAAATTTAATTTCATAGAATATATTAAATGTTATTTAACACATTCTACAATTTAATTCCAAATAACAGTATCTTCATAGCCTGTAAATTTCAGGTAATCAGTCTGTAATTCACCAAAAATCTATTCAGAGTCCACAGCACTAGGCTGGCTTTTGAAGGTTCATAATAAAGGTTAATGAGGTCTCCATCCTTTAAAACTCACAGCTTGAATCGAGAAGTGAGTCTTTGTCTACAGATATTTGGAAAGAAATTTCACTATCAAACTAGCACATAAAACAAGTAAACTTTTGCACATGAACTTGGGAAAACTGGTTACAAACATCAGCATTGGCTTCTACAATTGTGTGTGTGAGTGTGTGAGCACTCAGGTTTACAGTGACATAGAAAAATGGAAAGCTATAGAAAATGGCTTGAAACATTTATTCTAAAACACATCTATCTAAAACATCTAGAGAGATGAATGAATGAAAAGCGGATTTATTTGATGATTTTGTTAAATGCTTTCAGTTGATCACAAATAGCCACACAACTTAAATCAATATTAACAAGCATCCTCCAAATAATTCTGAGGAAGAAAATATATTTATTCCAGTTTATGGTATAAAATAACATTAACCTTTCTAGTTTTCAAAATTTCAGGCAAATCAAAGCAAAAATCTAGCTCCCAGCTACATCAAGGGAAAGACTGACTGAAGGAAAATGTGATCAAGGCAGAACCATCTGTAGCACTTTAATGATGATTTCAAGCTTGTACCAAAAACACACTTAATAAGAAATTAAGAGATAAAGAGAAGACAATTTCAAAGAAATTTGAACACTAAAGAAAATATCTGAGTATATAGATACACATTAATTGATGGTTGGACTTTAATTCTCTTGGAACAGGATGTCATCTGTGGAATTAGGAATACTTAAGAAGTGAAAACAAACTGCCTTAAAGCTATTGTTTGTTCTTTGAGACAATTAAAAAATTATTTCTCTACCTTTTTTTTTTTTGACATCTCAGTCACGTATGGTAATAACAAATAGAGACCCAGCTGAAAAAACAAGAAGTTCTATACATTTTTAACTCACCTATAATAAACCATTTGCTAAAAGCATTTTGAGTACATTGTTCTATGAATAAAAATGTTGGTGTTCTCAGTTTCAAAAGTTTGGATCTATTTGGTGAAGTGGGACTTTCCCTGAGTCAGGTGCACACAATGCCCAGTGGCTTATGGAGAGTATAGTCAGGGATTCCAAGAATTCTGTCATCAGGGTTATGGTCCTGTCTTACTTATGGAAGTTTACAAAACCAAATTTAATTCAAAAGAGGGCATGAGTGGCTAATAAATTCAAATAATTATCTTTTCCGCTGCCAACTAAAGTGAGGTAAATATCAACTTTATGAATCAGAAATGAGATAGAATCTTTCCTTAGTCCACTGAGAAATTGATCAAAATTATTTTCCCTGGGAGAAAATCTTACTCCATGAGTAATATCAATAATAATACTGAGGTGCTTGCTTCAGCAAGACATATACTAAAATTGGAGCAATACAGAGAAGATTAGCATGGTCCCTGCAAATTTGTGAAGCATTCATTTTAAATATTTTTTCTTTATTTATTTTAGAGAGAAGAAGGGAGAGGGAGAGAAAGATAAAGATGTCGATGAGAGAAAACTGATTGGCCATCTCCTGAATGCCCCACAATGGAGATCTTGTCCACAACCTCGGCATGTGCCCTGACTGGGAATCGAACCGATGACTTCTTGGTGCATGGATCAATGCTCAACTACTGAGTCACACCGGCTGGGTAAATCATTCCATATTTTAAAATATAACAATAATACTAAGGTCAAGAAGCCTAACATTGAGCTCTATTTATTTAATATGTTCAACATGTGATAAATACAATAAATTAAATTTAATATTCTGATTTGGCTGGTGCTGTTAATTGGGTAAACTTTCAAATTGGTGCACAGTCACCTTTGCCAGGAACATGGTCATAATTTTTTAAAGTCAATGCTATATTTCAGAAGTAGAAGATTACATCCTACTTTCTCTATCAAAATTTTCTAATAATGTATTGATATCAGTTTTTAAAGAATTCAACTGAATATTATCCCACTTTGCAAAATGACTTTTGTATTTTACTTTATTAATTAAAAAAAAATGTGTGTTTATATCAGGAATCATATCTATAGTGTGCTAGCTGCAATACATTTGACAAGGGAATATCAGAGGTTACCACTGAAAATCCACAAAGCCAACTCTAGACCACTTACAATATCACAATGGTGAAAAATGCATGTGTTGTAATTGTATTTACACCATCTTTTTTGTTTTCTAGAAGCTTGTTTGAAAATTGTAATATGAGAGGATAGCAATTGGCATTTTCATGACCAAATCAACCTCTTTTCCAAGTATAAACTGAGTAGTAAGGGAGAAAGTGAATATTCACCCAGCTAGGCTGACCAAACATCCATCCTGCCAATCAGTCAGGTGAAAAGATTGCAGCAACACTGTTCTCACATTCACCCAGAAATGGCTATGTTAGAGGTGATGATTGTTTTAATTAGTTCTTAACCATATAAAGTTGCATGCTAAATTCATGCTACCTCTGTAGTATTTGGGAGACCATAAATAAATAGTTTGTACTTACCAAGGGAAGTTGGAGAAAAGCAATCATTAAAGTAAAGGGAAGACAATTCAGTAACTAAATCCACCTCTATCCAAGTATGAGCTGGCTTGATGCTTAAATTTCTACACTGTTGCACAACAGGAGGTTTGACTGTATCAGATTAATATTTCAAATGTAATTCTTTGGGTTTAGGAAACTTTTACTGAATAAAATATAAGAAAGGTCTATGAACACAGGTGTACTGAAGGCCACAATATTTGTAGAGTTAAATGAAATTTAAGTCTCAATTATTCGATAAAATTATCAAATTAATGAAACTTCTCATTAGCAGCAGCGTTGTTCAGTGATTTAAAGCCCAAAAGTGAAACCAGCCATTTGGAATGACTGCTCTATACGTCACAGTGAAATCAGTCATTTGTAATGACTGCTCTGTACATCACAGCACTATGTTACCTATCTCTACTTTAGGATCAAAGGTATTTCATAGATTTCATGTAGTAAATTTAGCTTGTTTGGCTAAATGTTTGATAAAACTCTGCTGTTTCTTTAGCTATAAAAAAGAATAACAAAAGTGCCTACCTTGTATGGTTCTAACATTGAATAAATTATTTCACATATATGTATTGCTTAGAATAGTGCCTGTAAGAAATTAAGCATGGGAAATTCATTGTCATCAACATCACTGCTATTAAGATTATTAAACCCATTTATAATTATTTTTATAACTGTTATGTTTGATCAAAATAATGTTACAGAGTAGAAATGGCCCAAGTTCTGAGCTCAGGTCTTAAAAGTCTTTGTGGTTTATTTTTATGCTCTTGGGAACCCTGTAACCACCTTCAGGTGAGTGAGTGCAAGAAAACCTGCTGGAGGAAGAGAGGCCACTTGGAGGATGTCTTTGGTCCTATTCCACAGTAGACAGATTCTGAAATGAAAATTTTCAAGCTGGAAGTTACTAAGGAATGTTGGTGACAAATGTGAGGCAGTAATGAATGCAGGATTGGTCATAGGTGAAAGGCCACAACACAGTTGAAAAAGATTTCTCAGTTGATTCCTTGGGGGAGCTCTGGAGCTGAGATAGCCCTTCAAAGTAGTTTCAAGTTGAGGCAAAGGGGCAGTGCATTTTAATGTGTGTATCAACCAATGACTGGATGAGGGCTGTTCTTGAGGATCTTGGGCTAGGCGGCTTCATTTGGCAGTTATTGGCATAGAGATTCAGCTGTAAGTTGTCAGCAGGCAATGCTTCTAGACATTGTGGGAAAAATGTCTTTATCCTGAAAAAGAGGATCTGGTTGCATGTCATAGAATTCACTAAAGGTAAACCCAGGTGTTCCATTTAACAGCTTACCAAGTGACAGATATGAGAGTGAGGACATCCTATAACATCCACTTGCCACAAGCAGATCATAGACATATCAGTGACCTAGCACAGATAAATCAAACTAGCTGAGACTAGAGACTCACAGGATCTTGAAAGATAAGAAATAGTTGTTTACTTAAGCCATTATATTTTGAGTCAGTTTATTATGTAGTGATAGATAACTGACACATAATATTACATTATGACAATACTTATCAAAGTCTATGAGTACAAGATTTAAATGATTCTAATTTTAGTGTAGTAAAATTTTTTTTTTATCCTCACCCAAGGACATTTTTGAATTTATCTTCAGATAGAGCGGGACAGAGAGAGGTAGGAAGAAAGAGAGAGAAACATCAATGTGAGAGAGAAACATTGTCTGGTGCCACACACAGGACCCCAACTGGGGCCAGGGACAAACTGCAATCGAAGTATGTGCCATTAGCAGGAACCGAACGCGGGACTCTCTGGTCCGTGGGCCGACACTCTAACTGCTGAGCCAAACCAGCCAGGGCAGTAGTAACATTTTTTTTAAGACAGCCATTGGCAAGGGCATTAATATCAACATATATTTGAGATTAAATTAGCAACACAGATGATTCTAATGGAAGCTGGACTGTGAGTATGCAGTACAATTTCTATGACAAGAGGACACCAACTGCCAAGCACATGAGGTGGGCACACAGGTCTCTTAGGAGCAAACCAGTGTATACTTCTGGTAAATACTTCTGTGTCATCGGACAGCATAAACACAGAGAGTTGTCAAGAGCTTTCCTTAGGGTATTTTGTACAAAACTGGGAGTTTACAAGGGGAAAACATTGTCATTGTATTTAGATATTGATATTATACCAATTCACTTGGAAGCTAGAAATAAATTTTTCTCTAAGGAAAAGAAAATTGGATAAGTTGAAATAAGAACTTTTAAAACTTTAATTATTGACCAAACATAACTTGAAAAAAGAATAACCTACATTTGTACCATTCTAACAAATCAACTATTTTACTTTTTTCACATTCCTTTTCAGTCCCTGTATGTATGTATACATGATTACACAGTTTTAAATAGAGGATAGATACAATTTTGTATTAGATTAAGATCTTTTGAAAAAAATAATCAGAAGTTGAATTTTTTAGCCTAAAACCTGAAATCCTTACCAGTCAAATGAGATTAGAAGCTAGATGAAAGGGCTCTAGGAATTCTTTGCTGTCAGAGTGGTTGTACTTTAGACTCCTCATTTTTTTTGGTCATTAATTAATTAATTTTTGCTGCACATGGTTCTCATTTTTCCTCCCAGACACCATTGTCCCTATCCCACCCATACCCCAGCATTGCTGTGATGTCCATTGCTTATGCATACATACATATAAGTTCTTTTATTTATCTCATTCTTCTCTGCCACACACCTCCTCTGAAGTTTGTTAGTCTGAACCATACTCCTTTCTATGTCTCTGGGTCTATTTTGTTCATCAGCTTTTTCCTGTTCATTATATTCTACAAATAAGTGAGATCATGTGGTATTTGACTTTCTCTGATTGGCTCATTTTGCTTAGCATAATACTCTCCAGGTCCCTCCATGTCATGTCAACGGACAAGAGATCTTTCTTTCTTACAGCAGCATAGTGTTCCATTGTATATATGTAGCACAACATTTTTATCCACTCATCTACTGATGGACACTTAGGCTATTTACAGATCTTAGTAATTGTAAATAGTACTGCTATGAACATGGGGGTACATATATTCTTTCTGATTGGTGTTTCGGGCTTCTTAGGATATATTCCTAGAAGAGGGATCACTGGGTCAAATGGAGTTCAACTTTTAATTTTTTGAGGTAACACCATATTGTTTTCCATAGTGGCTGCACCAGTCTGCATTCCCACCAGCAGTGTACGAGAGTCTCATTTTCTACACAACCTTGCCATCACTTGTTGTTTGATGATTTGTTGATGGCGGCCATTCTGACAGGTGTGAGGTGATACCTCATGGTTGTTTTAATTTGCATCTCTCTGATGATTAGTGATGTTGAGCATTTCTTCATATGTCTCTTACCATTTGTATGTCCTGTTTGGAGAGGTGTCTATTTAGTTCCTCTGCCCAGTTTTTAATTGGGTTCTTTGTCTTCCTTTTGTTGAGCTGTATGAGCACTCTACATATATTGGAATTTAACCCCTTATCTGATGTGTCATTGGCAATTATGCTCTCCCATAGAGTGGGTTGCCTTTCCATTTTGGTGGTTGTTTCTTTCACGGTGCAGAAGCTTTTGAGTTTAATGTAGTCCCCTGTGTTCATTTTCTCCTTTGTTTCTATTGCCTTAGGTTATGTATCAGTAAAAATTCTGCTGCATATGATGTCTGAAATTTTGTTGCCTACATTTTCTTCTAGGATTTTTATGGATTAGTGAGTCACATTTAAGTCTTTTACCTCTGCCCATTTTTTAATTGGGTTCTTTGTCTTCGTTTTATTGAGCTGTATGAGTATTCTATATATTTTGGAGATTAACCCCTTATCTCATATATCATTGGCAATTATGCTCTCACATATATTGGGTTACCTTTTCATTTTGATGGTTGTTACTTTTGCTGTGCAGAAGCCTTTTAGTTTGATGTAGTCTCATGTGTTCA